TTTGTCATATTAGTAATAAGTAATAATTTTGGATGTAATAAATGATTTGGGGCCAATACTTTTGCCTATCTATTTCTTCATGCTTTTTTGATAACACAATTCCTAAAACAGGTCTTTGAGTCAGAAGGTGGGCACATTTTAAACATTTCTGGTATATATAGTAGAAAGAGTGAATGGGGTGTAGGAACTGACATGCAGCAGATAAGAGAGATAGGTGTTTGCACCTCTGCCCTACTTCTGACACATCCTAAAAGAGGGATGAATCTTTTTTTTTTTTTTTTGGTACTGGGAATCAAACTCAGGACCTCATGCTTGCCAAGTAGGCACCGCACCATTGAGCCATGTCACCAGCCCTACCCCTCCCCATTTTGTGTTTACTGACACTACCTTGGTGTCTTATAATTCGCTGCAGTTATTCATGCCATGAAAATCAATGAGTGTCTCAAGTCAGAGCCTTTCCCCTTCTTCTACAGAGCTGACTAGTAAGAATTTACTAATGCACTATTGGAAAGTGTATATAGATCCCTAGTCCTAGTAGTTTTTATTTCTTTTAACCTCAAAATCCATACTGGTGCTTAAAACAGTAATATTTACTAGATGTAATTTGTACATCCTAATGTTGATGTTTGCAATGCCTGTATTTATCTAAGGCTTTCCTTTTTCTATTGTTTGAATAATTTTGGATATATTTAGATATATTTTGTATTTAAGCAAGTCAGTATGGTACAACAAGGACAACCAAATTTTGCAGAGAATTGGCATGAGCATGTGATAATTCCAAAAAGTGTCTGTACTTTGTAAAATTGTTATTTAGAAAAACCTTTAAAATAATTGTTTTGGCATACATTATTGTTGATCCGCAAGGGACATCAGACTTGGTGACACATAAAGAGGAAAGAGGAAGTGGTCAGTCCAGGAGTCCTTTTCCTAACTTTCCATGACTGTACCCTGTACTCTAGTTAAATCCCTGGGTATGTGTGTGTGTGTGTGTTTATAATCTTGACCCCCACCCCAGTAGCTAGTAAGCCACTCAGTGGGACTGCTGCACTTGTGTTGCTGAGGAACAAAAATGTGGGTGACTGAGTAATCCAGTTCTAAGAAGGTACCGTTCTAGGAGAAATGATCAGTGCCAGAGAGTCAGTAAGGCATAATAAGACTCAAGAGCTCCAGAATTCTGCATTCTAGGACTATGTAAGGCACATGATGCCTTCCTCTACCATACTTCTACACTACAGCTTGATCTGGTGACCTAGCTAAATACAGTGCTGCTTCTTTTTTTTTTTTTCCAAACACTCTTTATAGATTTTTCCCACAAGAATCTACAAGGAGCTCCTTTTAAGAAATTCCTATGTGAGAGAGTAATATGCATCTACCCACAAACACGTAGGAAGAGCCACTTCATCACTACCTGCATACTCTTAGTCAAGCCTCAGTTTTCTTATCAGTACAGTGAGAGTGTATGTGTGTGTATGTACAGAGAGGGGAGCTGGACTCAATGTGCAAGACTTGAAGTTCATTGGTTCTATGAAACCAATTCATTTTCCTAATAGATGTAGAGGAATCAAAATATTCCTGCCCAAGGAAATTAAACTGCCTTAAAAAAATATTTGAACTAGATTTCCCAGGCTGGTATATAAGAACATGTTAAGAAATCATATTTTATGAATGCTATAATTTGATTCTCAGTAGAAAAGAAGAGAAAGTCAGAGAGACCTTCCTGCTTTTGCTGTTTTCTCAATTTTAAGGGCTCCTACTTGGGAGTATTGTCTGAGCCCAACATCTGTTTCCTTCTACCCAGTCTTTATAAGACTGCATGTCTACATGCAGCTCCAGTGCGTCGTGTAGCACCTGGACATAACGGCAGCTTGAAAACATCACTTCTACGTACAGAGCTTTGCCATGGACATGTTTGGGAGCACCAAAAAATTCTGCATTCTTTCTTCCTTCTTCTACGTGTCTTTTCTACATTTACAGTTGTCCCTTTCTAGTGCTCCAGGGTCTTGGGGTCATTACTAGGTTTTCCTATCTCATAGAGAATCCAAGTTTCCTGCATCCTTTCCCCCTATCCTGGCAGTTCTTTGTACTCCAGGCTGCCTCTGCTGTGTGCACAGTTCAACTGCCTGCCTAAATTTTAATTATTCAGTGTTGAATTGGTATATTTGCATACACAAATATTTGAGGAATCGAAATAACAATTAGCAGATTTATACTTAGGATTATTTAAAGAATATATTTTGTCTTCCTGTTTTATTTTTTCTCCCATGGCCTGGCAGTCATCCTGGTTTTAATGATTTGCTGTGTTTCTCTGTCCAGCAGGTTTCCACTCCTACACTGACCTGAATCAGATTCTGGAAGATGCTCTTTGAATATAAAGGAAAAAAAATCAGTATTTTGACTAGTTACTAAAATTAATAAAACATTTCAAAAGTACATGCATTTGTTTCTAGCCCTACCTGGTTAATAAACTTCTCCTCTCTAGGGCTTCAACTAGAGAAAAATGATAAAGATTTATCACAACTGCTTGAGGCCCTGCTTAGAACAAGAGTGCGCGATACCTGGAGGATGCAGAGGGAGGTGGCGCTGAGGCCCTGATCTCTGCAGGCTCGCAGTTCCTCAGGAGAGAGACGTGAAACCCCACAACCTTAAATAATCACTTGGTGGATGACACAGCATTTAGCATCATACATCTGCCATCTTCACAGCTGCCAACTGTGACTCAATAGCTTTGGTGGTTTCTGTGACATTTTTTCAAAAACCAACAGTTTTCCTCTTATGGTGTATACATCATGAAGTTTTTCAACTAACGGAATTATGGGGGGAAATAGATCTATGTAAATTTACTGTTAAATAACAAACAATCATATTAGGCTGTTACTGCAGTTTGGGAAGCATGATAGATAGAGGATCTTTCCCGACTTGCTGAGCCCACACTCTAAAATTGTCTTCAGAATTTGTCTTTCCTTTGGAAAAAGGTAAAACGGTAGCTATCTGGAATGGGAGAAGGGACCAGAGAAGGGAGAATCTGTTCCTAACAAATTTCTGATCTAAATCTTGATGGATATTTCTGTGAATGATTCTTTGAGAGGAGACAGAAGCACTGGGAGGGCCACACTTCCACAGGCTGGTTAAGGACAGTTTGATAGACTATTGGCTAGGGTGCAGATTTTTGTCATGATGCCCGGGCTGAGGAAAATATAGCACAAGAAACAAATGCTCCAACTGGACACCATGGCTCTGTGTTAATGGATTGGAGTGCTTCCTTTCCTTCTGGAACTTTGGTGGTTTAATGATGCAGAGTAGAGGAGGGAAAGGCAGGCAAGTAATTTTTTTTGTCCTCATTGAAATGAACGATTCCTGAGACTTTTAAAGGTGATATCCATTTCTAATTTACTACTACTCCCCACGTAATATTATTGGAAATATATTAAATGCTGAATACCTTTTTTTCTCTTAGGGAAATATTACCTCTGCATGAGAAGAGAGATCAATGATCTTTAAAACAACAATGTAGCATCTTTCAACCTGCAATTTGACTCTCTTGTTTTTTTCAGACTTCCTGTCATAAGTAGATAATTCCTCTTGGGACATTAGCATTTTGAAACATAAAAAAACAAGTACCTTCAGCAAATCCTGCTAGCTAAGCTTTCTCTTTCTAAACTTGTCAATTTATCTCTGTTAATTACCGGGCTTTAAACTGATGTTCCTTAAAATATTTGATCTTTTGGTTTTCTGCAGGTAAACATTTTCACACCATTTGAATGTAGTCTTTCTATCCAAATATATAAAGATACAAAGACATTCAAAGACTTTTTATTGAAAATAAGACAATTTCTTCCCATACTTTTTCACATTCTTTATGGATCAAATGGTTGTATGATTTAGTAATTTTGTAATCAGAGATTTTTAAGGCTGAGGACTCAAGTCTCTTTGCTATGACGGAAAGGACTGGAGATACTAAAAATCACTATGCAAAGCACTAAAACTTAAGCCGCTGATCACAGTCAGGACTACATAGCATTTCCCCCTTTATTTGAGTGAGGCAGAGGGGATAAAGAAGTGCATTGTGAGAAGCCACTGTTTAGCTGAGCCATTATCTATGGCAATAATGTTAAATGACTGTGATACCCACGCTTCTAGGACATTCACCCTTCTCCTTCCAATTACTTCTCTGGTTCATCTGCAAATGGCAAGAGTGAAGTCTATGTAGTCAAGCCGTGTGAGGGAGGAGAAGGTGCATTTGTGAGTGTGGAAGAGCCCTGCAAAGAATAGTAGAATGTGTCTCTTTTTCTTTTGCAGTCTCCATGTTTATTTTTTAAGATGAGCTACTAGGCAGTGTATGGCAATGTACAGACAACAGTGTGCAACAGTTTAATACTTGAGCTCTGAACCTTTCACCACAGTTGGAATTCTGGTCTGGGTACTTACTACCTGGATAATTTATTAAAACTTACATTTTGTACCTTGGTTTTCACATCTTTAAAATGAGGATAATAGTAGCACCTGATTTATACATCTGTTGCAAAGAATAAATTATATATATATAAATATATAAATATAAATATATATATAAATATATACACACACAATATTATTTCAGGCAAAGTAACTGTTCAATAAACATTAATCCTTTTAATGAAAAAGGCATAAACTTTAGAAGCCAAAGTCTGAATTTCAATCTTCAGTCATATCAGTAAACAATATGAGGTCTCAGTTGCTTTATGTCTAAAATAGCACTGGTTGTAGGCCCGACTGGTTTGTTCCCTTACAGGATTGTTTCAAGGTTGAGAAATCATGTTAGGAGACTCTCAATACTTAGAAATTATTAAAATTCCACTCTTTTTAGCAAAGAGTTTCCTAATGGAAATTCATGATGAAACTATAAGTTAAAATTTATACTGTGTATTAGTCTGTTTTCTGTTGCTATAACAAAATACCTGAAGCAGGATACATATATTTAAAAGTTTATTTAGATCACAGTTTTGGGGGTCCAAAAGCGCAGTATGGGCTTCTGCTCAGCTTTGGCAGCAGTCTCATGGTGGAGTCTCGTGTCACATTGCATCACAATGGTGGAGCAGGTGCAGAAGGTAAACCTTGCTCCTTTCTAAAAACTCAATCTCATGGGAACTAACTCATTCTGTTACTAATTTCTGAGGCAGATGTCCCAAATGATCTAACTGGCTCCCACCAGATCCTACCTCTCAAAAGTTTCACCACCTCCTCATACTGGATATTGGATACCATCTTCCAGTACTTAATATTGGACACCATTATTCCATCACAGGAAACTTTGGGGGACACATTCAAACTACATCCAGGCCACTGCACTTTATAATTGTGCAACATGTGGTAATGTTTTGAAGGGAACTGAAATACCTCTCTGCAGAAGACTTTGCAAAACTCTACACTCCTGGGCTTAATACATAGTTTGAGAGCAAAGGGTGACTTCAAGGCTGTTTCCCTCATCCTTTAACAGGCTGCAGATCTGAAAGTGGTTGTCACTGCTTCATTATCCCGATGACTCACAGAGCCAGACATTTCCTCCCCTCTGCTGTTCTTTCAAATTAAATTCATTGCTCTACAAATTGTCTGTGGTTCCCAGAAATGATGCAAATTGCATGTACCCTGTTCAAAGCCTGGACGCTGGACTCTGAAGACCTCCCATGTGATCAGGGCTCTTCCACTCACCAAGAACTCCAATAAGGCCTCTTTCTTCTTCCTTAAAGGAAGCTGAGAGAAGATAATGAATGCATGAATTCCCCCCCCTTTTTTTTAAAAAAAAGACCACCCTTAACAAGTTAAGACCAACGTTAACAAGTTTGGATATTCTTATTAAGCACAAGTAAAAACATAAATTCTTCTTATGATTATCTGTTCAGTAGGTAATATTTGACCATCCACAAGGTGAAAACAAGCATTTAAGCTGTTTAAAAGCTTTCTGAGAAGCACCAGTTAACATAGGTCAGTTCTGTTTCTTTCTAATTTTTGAAACAAGCTTGAAATGTTTTCAAATCTAGTTCAAGTGTGAGATGTAGTTTCTTGAACATCTTCTGTCACAAGAAATAACTTAAAAGCAATGAACATGTCAGCATCAAAGAGACAGTACCTATCTGGGGAATGGCTGGGCACTGAGGTAGCTGGTTTGGAAATGTGCCCAAATGGTGATTCAGCACTGCCATGCCAGTTGTATTTCATTTTTAAAATGATGACATAGGCCAGTTACATTTTTTTTAACTAAAAAGATTTTCTTTATTTTCCTTTCCATTGCTAACATTTTCCAATATAAGGATGCTAGCATTGATTTTTTAAAATAACAATTCTGTAAAGAAACTAGAGCACACTGAGGTGGTGCTGCAGCAGTAAGAGCACCTCAAGATGGGTGCAGAGCCCCAGTGCAGACTGAAAGCCTATGAAAGAAATGTCCAAAGCCCTAGGGGGCATGGAGTGGTAATTTGTGAATGTCAAAGACACAATCCTAAAGAATATAAAATTCACCAGTAAGCACTGCAGGTAGATACACTATTGCTGAGGAGCATCTGCATTGCTTTTCTCTGAAACAGGCCTCTTCATATCTGAAGCTCAGATTGCCATAGGAGCACAATCTTAAGAGTTGTTCATTGATATAGGTGAGACACAAACCATTATCAGATCATTTCTGATTTTAGCCTCTGCTGATCCATCCACTAGTGACCTAGAGATCACTCTCTTTAGGTTCTCTTCATTGAGACTCTTCCTTCTATTTGAAGCTGAGGCATAAAGTTTCTCCTGTCCTTAATAGATGCTTTGCAATAAGAATGGCAGTTACTGACTAGGAATTGGGCACTTTGCATATACTATTGCATTGAGCTCTTATAACAATTATAAGAGGGAATATTATTCCCATTTTATAGATGAAGATACTGAAGTTTTAGAAGAAAAACATGCCCAAAGTTTCTTAGCCTGTAAATGGCCAGGTCTTCTGGTGATATATATATGCTTATAATATAAATATATATATTTAAAAGCTTATAATATAATCATTTTAATGTGTGTACAATTTTATGAGTCAGGGATTTGGGCAGAGCTCAGGAGGGCAGCTTAATTCTGTTCAATGTGGCATTAGCTGGGTGGCGTCAATGAGCCCTGGGACTCTATTTTTAAGATAATTCACCCCCATAACCAGCAACTGGGCTGTCAGCCATGGTCCTCAGCTCCTGTCTGTGTGGGCTTCTCCTTGTGACTGCCTGAGCTTCCTCATAGCACAATGGCTATCCCAAGAGCATGTGTTCCAAAACACAAGGGGAAAGACTGCCAATCACCCAATCACTCAAGCCTGGTCCCTACATGGGCACGATGACACTTCTACTATATTTCATATAGATTCAAGGAGAGAGAACGCAGACACTACCTCTCATTGAGTGAAATGTCAAAGTATTTGTAGCTGTGTTAATCTATCACACCGAGTAAAGATGAGAACACAGTATGTCCCTCACTTACAAATGAGTTTTATTCTGGGAGAACATTCATATGTTGGATTTGTTTGTAAGTCTGACAAAATGAGTCATATATATTTGGACATAAATATATAATATAAAGCATAAAAAACCCAAACAACCCCCAAAACACAGTAAGCCTCTGACTGTATATTTTGGTTTGTGTCCAGATGTCTCCCCAAAAACCTTATGCAGTTGTGGGGCAGGCTTCTAGAGTTTTTGATTGCTTCATGGTCCAATACTGGGGTTACGGGTGTGAGTGCTGCACCTGCATACAATAGAAGGGAGGGAAAGAGGCTTGCTCGCTGCGGCTCCTCACTGCGGTTCCTCCCTTTTTGCTGCTTTCCACCACCATGAACTGTTGCCCTCTGCCGTGTGCCACTCTGCCTTGGAGCTAGCTGATTATGGACTGAAACCTCCACAAACTATGAGCTAAACAAACCTTTCCTTCCTTAATTTTGAGTGTTGGGTATTTTGTCTCAGCAATGAGAAAAAAGTAACCAAGACACCATACTATAATACTGGTATGAGGTAGCCCACCTACTTTTAATTGTAGCTTCCCAATTAAATGTTATTGGGTTCTGGGTTTGCTTGCTTCTTCTTCTAGAATTAAATTCCAGGTTCTTTTTGTCTCAAAGAATTTGATGAGACAAGCCAAAAATAACGTCAAAAGTTGATTTTAAAAGTGAGGGGTAAAAGGACATGGGAGAAACCAGCTTTGCAGAGTAAATTTGTGCAGAAGAAAAGAAGATAAAAACAAAAATAAAAGTACATCCATGTCTGGGAAATGCAATGTGCAATACCATGAGAAGTCACTATAGCAAGCTCTTCATGACGTCTGTGTCCCTTTATGCTGCCCAAATCTTGGGGAAACCTGTGAGAAATTCTACATGTGGGTCCCACGAGGTGGTGCTGAATCCCACATCTCAGACTGAGGGCAGGTCTAGGCTATCTTACTGAAAACCCGCTGGGGTTCCCCGGGGAAGTCCACATGCAGGACTTTGGAAACTGTCCTGTGAATGTTTTTGCGATCTTGTAATTAAGAGGTCATGCCTACTTCTCCAGCCAGCTTTGCCATGTCATAATCGCGTATGTCACTACTGTACACTATCACACTGTACAGTAAATGCACAGCATGACAACTGTGACAATGTCCAACAAACACACGAGCTACCTTTATGATCTGTTCACATTTGTGAACGTCCATAATGTGAGGACCCTTCATGTCTGTGCAAGTTTGCAATTTGAATATTGCTAAGTTGGGGACTTACTATAGATTTTAGCTACCACATAAAATTTGTTCAAGTAGTATCATATCTGTTATATTTCTCAACTGTTGCATTTATCTCTATATTATAGTAACTGTCCTATGAGGTCCTTAAGGGCAGGAGTCAGGTCTTATGCATCTTGGTTAGACATACTGCCTGCCTGATCACAGCCAGTGTTCCATAAATACTGAAGGAAAGAATGCAGAAGAGCTGAGTTCCAATTCTGGCTCTGTGTTAAGCAGTTTTGCTGCCAGAATAGAACACTGAACTACTCTGGGCTTTGACATTCAATGAAGTGAGTGAATGGGATTAAATGATCCCTAAAATCTCTTCCTGATTTTTTGTTTTGTTTTGTTTTGAGCACAACCATTATGAATCTGCTTAAACTGTTGTACTAAAATATCATAAGCCATGTGGGGGGTTTAAACAACAGACACATATTTCTCACAGTTCTGGAGGCTGGAAGTCCAAGGCCAAGGTGCTGCTCAGCTTGGTTCCTGATGGGGGTCTTCTTCCTTGCTTGTAGATGGCTGTCTTCTTGCTGTGTCTTCCCATGGCAATGGGGAGGGCCGGCGATCTGGTATCTTTCTTCTTGTAAGGCTTCTAACTTTGTCAAGGGGACTCTACCCTCATGACTTTATCTGAGTTTAATTACTCATAAAAGCCCCACCTCCTAGTGCCATCACATTGAAAGTTGGAATTGTACCATATGACTTGGGGAAGGGCGAATAACAGCCATTCTACTTATCTAATCAAGATTATTAGCTATGAAACAGAGGAATCCAACATACAAGTCTCAAAATAGAGGACTGCAGTGATCAAGATACCTGAGAGTAAAAAAAGTAGAGGAGATGGATTGTTCTGCTGACAGTGTAAAGACCCCACTTAGAAAATGTGGACACTAAATTTAGACACAGATGCTTGAATTATAGTGATAATGTTTATAGTAGGAATGTAGTGGGAACTGTAGATTGGGGACTGTTTGGTCACAAGTGATGAAAGTAATGAAGGGAACTCTAGCGTTTATACCCAAGTGGTAAGGAAATGCAAATTTAGGTAGCATCAGTAGTGGACCCCAACTCTCACTACACAGAGAATTACCTGAGTGTCTGGACCACTCCCAGTGTGGAATTTCTGGAAGTGGAGCTTCAAACATCAGTGTTCCAGTGTTCTAGGTGATTCTACTGTGCAGCATGGTTGATACTATCTTGTCAAGCATTAAAGGCATGAGATTTATGGCTGCTATCAAATTATAAAAAACTGAGGAGGAAAATACGACAGCCACCAAATAATCTGGGGCATGGTATGCAGAATAATAGCCTCCTGGATATCTACAACCTAGTCCTCAGAACCTATGAATATGTTATGCTACATGGAAACTAGGAATTAAATTTGCAAGTGTAATTAAGGTTGATAATCAACTGACCATGAAATAAGGAGGTTACCACAGATTATCTCAATAGGCTTAATGTATTTCCAAGGACCCTTAAGAAGTAGAAGAAAAAAGTTGAGAGAATAGTCAGAGAAATGCAATCTTACTGGCTTTGAAAATGAAGGGAGGGGCCACAAATCAAGGAATGTGAGCAGCTTCTAGAAGCTGGAGAAAACAGAGTGGATTCCTCACTTAGAGCCTCCAGAAAAGAATGCAGCCCTGTAGACACTTGGACATTAGCCTACAGACAAATGGAACTATAGGATGATAACTTGTATTGTTTTAACCCTCTGAGTTTGTGGGATTTTTTTTTTTTTTTGCAAAAGTTCCAGAAAATTAAAATAGGTGCTCAGATCAGAAAAGCTTCACTGAGGAGGTAACTTTTGGTAAACTTGCAAAAGGATATCATTGGTGGAGAAAAAGTAGGGAAGATGTTCAAATTTGAGATCATCAACAAAAAATATTTAAATTCAAGGATATATAATATCCAAAATGTTTATAATAAAAAACAGAGGAAAGAAACATTATGAGATTGCCACTGAATTTTCCAGTAAAGTCACAGGCAAGGAAGGCTCAGGAATTTTTCTCAGTAATGTTACTTGAACCTTTACTGATTTAAATGCTGACTAAACACTTGTTCTACCTGGATAGTTTCAAATTATTTAAGTCAGCAAAGAAAGCAGATAGGATCTGCCGCTGCCACATAGCTCACCACTGGAATGTAAGCTGGGGCTTAACATTCCTATCACTTCCTCTAATAAGATCTGTAGACTCTGCTGATTTCTTTTCGTTTGTTCCTGAATAAAAAAAAAATCTGGTTATGAGGCAGGTAGATACACAATACAGAAAGACAGACAATGATAGGCAGAAACAAAGTCAAAGTCAGACAGAGGGCAAAGAACCTCCATATTTACATTTATTCATTAACATATGTTTATTGAGGGTCTTTGTTGACATGAACATATATCCTCTTTTAGGGATCCTTCAGTGAATGAGACAGGCAAAGTCCCTGTTCTCACAAAGCTTATAGTCTAGTGGAGGATACAGGCAAATAATTGGGCAATTAATAGCAGAGTAGAAAATATAGGTTGCTATAAGAAGAAAACATGGGTGGGACAATTGGTTCAGCCTGGAAGTGGAAAGGGAAGAGTGTGTCAGGGAAGCCTTCCTGGAGAAACGACTTCTAAGTCACTCATTCTAAACTATGGACCTGCAGCATTGGCAAACCTCAGGAGATGCTTAGACATGAACATTCTCAAGCCCTTTAAGCCAGACCTCTAAAGCCTAAAATTCTGAGGATGAGGAGTAAAAACCCATGTTTTTTTTTTTTTTATCAAGTCCTGTGTTTTTATTAAATGTTCCAGAAACATGCAAAGCTTCATTGAGAACTAGAGTCTCCCACCTGGGCTCTTCATTCAGAGATACTGATTTAATTGGACTGGGGTAAAGCCTGGGAATCAGTACTTAAAGCATCCTGATTTTATGATGCGATTTTAATGTACAGCCAGGCTTGAGACCATTTCTTGATGCTGACATCTGGAGTATAAGTTAAAGACCGAGGGCTGAAGAGAGAGCAAACACTTCTTACAGGAAAATATGCGAAGGTCAGAGTGCAGGAAGAAGTCCGGGGACCTACTAAGGCCAGTGGAGGCTACAACAAAACCCCACGGCTCAAAATAGACTCACAGCTGCAGATTCAAGTGTTTTCTGCAGTACATTTTAAACTTTAACGTTTGTAGACATCAGTGCAGGATCTTGTAGAAACACAGACACTTATTTAGTAGTTTGGGGGCGGGGGGCAAAGATTATGTATCGCTAACAAGCTTGGTGATATGACATTGCTGGTCTGCGGACCACATTTTGAGTAGCAAGGTTCTGTTGCCTTAGCTTTTTCCCTGAGCACACACTGGAGAGCGGGTGGGGACTGCAGAAGCGTGCCGCTACGCGTCGGCCCCAGGGCCATTTGTTTGGAGTGAACCGCGGAGGTCTTTGCTGGCTGGGTGCGGGGGTAGGAAGGAAAGATGCAGCCTGGTATAATCTTTCTGCCTGCTCTTCTGATTATCATCTATCAAGGTCCAAGGTCGTGCTGCTTTTAGCTCAGCAGTACCCCCCAGCCTCTCTCGCCGCTAGCTGAGTGCATCCCCAGCCAGGCTAGCAGGCCAGCTCGTTAAGTGACTGCTGCCAGCCAGCCAGGGAGGCGCTGGCCAGGGGAGGGGAGCCCCCTCCTGGGCCGTCCTCTTCCCACCTGCTCTCGCAGAGAGCGCGGTGCCTGCGGCAGAACCTCCCTCTGCAGCAGCCCCTTGCTCTTGGCAAGCACTTCTGGGCGCTGTCCATGGTGCAGCAGCTTTCGGCGCGCCACGTCAGGAGGCCGCGGCAGGGCCGGCGATTGGCCGAGGCGCCCTCGCCATCCCCCGGCACCCCGCCCCGCACCCCAGTCCCGCGGCGCCCGGGGACAAGCGTGGGGGCGAGCCCTGCACCGAGCGGCACACCCACTTTCCTTATTAGGATAGACTCGGAGCCCGGCGGGCGGTGGGTCCAGGAGGTGGGGCGAGCGCCCCGGGACGAGAGAGCCCAGGGCTCAGCCACGGCCGCAGCCGCCTTGAGCGGCGGGAGGGAGCAGCCAGCCTGCGCTTGGCCACTTTGCGGGGACCCCGCTGCGGTCCCCGGGGCCGCGATCGTCCTCCTCAACACCCCCACCCCTCAAACTCTGGTCCAAGCCCATCGCAAAGACATGGAAGAATTTTTGCAACGCGCCAAGTCTAAACTGGTAAGTTGAGAGAGCCAGGCTGTGTGTGAGCGTGTGCGTGTGCGTAGGCTTGTGTGTGTGTGTGTGTGTGCGCGCGTGTGTGTGTGAGCGCGCACGCTAATAGAAAGAGGGAGAAGAACGATGTTGCAGCAGAGGAGAAAGAAATAACTTTGCAGCCTAGTTGTCAGAGTGCGGGCTGTCCCCAGGAAGCAAGGCTCTGGAACTCCGGCCCTTTATGCCACAACTCCAACTGCAAAGTGCGGAGCGGGGTGTGGTAGTGGCCTGGCCGAAGTTGGGTCGCATGTGTCCATTTCTGGTCCCTTTAGCCTGGCGTTCTAAAAAGGGGAAGGCAGCCCAAATTCTAGTTAGCTTCCGAAGGATAAAAAATGGATGGGCGTGGTCTTTCTTGAGGAAGAGTCCAGTTTTCTGGGGGTGTAGGACCGGTAGGTGGAAAAAAAATAACCTCCAAGGATATTTTGGAGGCAACAAATACCTAAGTGAGAACGTCAGGGTGTTGGCTAGGGTGGATGAGTATAAACATTTAGTAGTCTGAGCAGCTCTCAAATTAGGCTTGCTCCAGGGAAGGAATTAGGGATGTTCTAGGGCATGTTGTGTCTCTAATATTTGATCACATCTGTAAACTGGGACAGAGGCAGAGGCCCAACTGTTGCTGGTGATGTAGGATTTGCCATGCCCTTCTTCCCCCGGAGGAGAGAGGTATGTTGGCCCGATGTGTTTCAAAGTATCACCATCCAAACAATGAGCAGTAATTTCACTATGTATGTTCACAGTGGCTACATGCTTTGGAAAGACAGGCTCTGGCAGTTTCCTAATTACAAACTGCTTTGGTTTTCAGCAGACCAATAATGGACATAATGGAAATGCTTCTTTTTGTACTTAAAAAAAAGTCTGTGCCCAGTTACAGGTAATATCTTTAATGAACAGTGAAAACGCTTTTTACTGGGTTGGCATGAAAGGAAATGCATAATTTATGATGCCTTTAACCTTTCAAACTTTCACAGAAGCCATAACATAAAGTCTGCTTTAAGGTGACATCTTAATTACAAGGCAGGATATTTGTGGGATTATTACTGTAATTTACCTTGCACTACAAATGTAGCTTGGGAAGGGAAGGCCCAAAGATACCGAAACCTCCATTCAGAGTGTAGCTGGAAGTGGGATCCTTACAATGATCTAATTGTCAGTATCTTTCAAAGGACCATTAGAGTTGATTAATGCTGTGTAAGTACTTTGCTTTTTACCACCAGCCTCCCAGAGAGTTGGATATTTGTGAAGATTTCAGAATTAAGAAAGTTTTTGATTATCTCTGCATTTACTGACCTCCTGATAGTTTCACTAGAGCTCAGTGAACAAAAATATTTATTGTAGAAACTCAGTAGCTATTTTCCCTCTCTGATGATTTAAGCATTCATTCTGTTCTGTACCTAGCAATGGGTAAGAAGTGTTCAAATATTTACATCAATTCTGGCTCTGTGTGTACATGTGTGTGTAGGTGAAAATGAATGGTGTTCAAGAATAAATACAGTTTTGGGCTACACCTGTGCTCCATTCCCATCACATTTATTTTACAAACATTTTAACAAGAAACATTTAGATTCTTGGACCTGATGTGAGGAAGAGCTTTGCCTCATTTCTGAAGAGCAATTGCTAGGATGGAAATATCCCTATTTCAGAGTAATCAGTTGAAAGTGATGTGTAATTTATTTACCGAGTCCCTTCATTAGACGAGCAATTGCTCTACATCATTAAAAAAAGACAGAAAAAAGAAGCAGTTCTTTGAAATTCTGTTACCAGTTTCCTGCCTTAGCCAGAAGAATAATTATGGTTAATTTTCTCTTTTCTCAGAGTAAGTTTCTGGCTAAAAATCAGCTATGGCAAAGGTGTTTTGGTTTCTTTTAGTCACACATTTCTCCTGATAAATATTTTAGGTAAAAAATTTTTTACTTAGCATGCAATATTCAAACACAGTAGCAGATAACATTTTACTTTAGAAGATGAACTTTTCTTTGTAGAAAAAAGTTAATAATTATGTCATTCATTTGTGAGAGGTTTATTCATAGTAGAATGTTAGGATTTTTAAAAGTTTGGTAGTTCTTTGGAAAATAGGTTAAGGGAAGAAATTTATTGGGCTGATTTTCACACCTAAGCTTTGTTGGAACTCGAATTAGAATTTAGGAATTAGGTATAAGCTGTTCTCTTAGAAGTACATAAATTTATCTAGATGATACCTAGAAAAATGCCAAGTGCTAGGGCCCCCATACTGGATAGACTGGCTGCAGAGCCCCCTTCATGTCCAAACACCATGAACTATGCAGTTTGAGCAGCTGCTAATGGGCGGGGATCACTGCAGCCATACTCTCAGATGTAGGTCATGGGCCAGCCTTGGAGGGGGCAGTCAGCTGCCACTGGAAGGATACAGGGCACATTGATGTCCTAGGAATGCTGTCTTCAAAGAGAAAGTAAGGGGAGAGTCACCACTGCAGTCCAGGAAACACATCTGCTACTTCAGCAGCGACAGCTGTGGACCAAGGGATCCAGTCTGCAGTGGTTATTAGTCAATACTTGGATGTTTATAGGAGAAATATGCTGGGTGACTTAAATATCAATGTGGTGTGTGGCATAAAGACAAGAAAGGACATTCATAACTAAATGAACAACTGCAGTGGAGTGGATATAGGCTGTGTGGTTGAAAAGAAAGAAAACCAGTGCAGCATGTCTGCAGAATAATTGTCTTGATTGGAAAGTGGAGGAACGTATGCTTCCTGACTTCCTATATTGGAAGAAGGTGCATTTTAATAAAAAGGATCTTTTAAAGGGACCTTTTAAAGAGCCATGATGGGAAGGACTAATCATACTGGAGAAACTGCAAAGCAGTTTCTTTTGAAACTGGGCTCATTCTGATCAGATACCAGGAGATCAGCTTGCCAGGAAAGGTGCTTCTGAGTCAGTGCTTCTTGCTAGTGTGTATGAGTAGGAAACTCAGGATTCCAAGCACTTCTGCAAGTATGGTGTCGCCGGAAGGGGCTGATGAGGAGTGAGCCCGTGCTTGTATTAGTCCTGAAGTCAGCTTCATTTCTCACTGCTGGAGCATCCAGACCAATAGCTGGGGACTGGCCCAGCCCCAGGGCCTTTGCAAAAGCACCAGGATTTTTCAGTACAGAGAGATCTCAGAGAGGATTGGTCTGTCTCCAAGGAAAAGAAGTGCTCACTGTCATCCAGATAACATCTTGGGGCTTGGAGGACATAGGGTCAGGTGAGCAGGGGCATTCTATAGTCTGTCATTTGGGGAATATTTTATTGTCATCTAAGAAGAAAACGTGACAGCCTTGATATAACTGGTTTGTCTCTGGGTAACATTTATTGGAGCAGATAATGACATCATTCTGAGTTTGATGTATAAATCTGGGTGCTTTTGCAAGCAACAGTGACTCGATGATAGAGGTTTCATTCTCCTCTTGCATCTACCTCTTGCTGGAGAAAAAAGGAGAAAACAATAGCTGGGCTTGGATGAAAGTTACTAAAGGGGATGATGTGGCACTGGTCACTGATTTGTCTTTAACCCTGGGACTAGGGGGAGAGTCACTGAGTTCAGTTCTTTTTGAAAGGAAACTGTAGAGGAGCAGGACTCTTGTATTCAGGAAACAGCATTCACAGGGACTTTAATATGAAGGACACATTCTGGGCTTGTGTAGAGTACAACTTGCACAGTCATGCGTGGCTGCCCTGCCAGAGGTAACAAAGTAACCTACCTCAGATCTCTGGCATCATCTCAAATCCATTTCTTTCTGCGCACTCTGGCTTTGGGCCTTGGTCTCCAGGGCAGGGTGATAGTATTGAAAGCTCTTATGAGGGCTTGAAAGCTCTAGATTGCCCTGAAAAGTCAGATGCACAAAGTCTGGATTGGAAATATTAAGCTATTAATGGGTCCTCAATCTGAAAAATGGTGCTTAGTTTTGTAGGTGTGTTGTAAAGTCACAATGGTACGCCCATAGCCCTCTTCACAGAACTCGGAACAATGGCTGCTCTTTCCATTGCCCCTAGCCGGTCTCTTCTGCAGGTCCTTACCTTACGCTGTCATTCATGCAGTTTCTCCAGCTGGAAACTTTCCTCTTCATGTTTTTCCTCACCCTCTGTGTCCCAGGGGTCACTGAGCCACCAGGCGACCACAGTAGTTGGCATGCAGGTCTCCAGCAAACCACTCTTGCACTGCTGCCAAGGGGCAATGAAAATATCAGGCACTCGATGCTGAAAGCATCTTTCCCATCTCTCCCACCCTTCCTAAAACCTCATGATCACTTCCCACTGCTCTCAGGAGAATGGACGACAGTTAACCTGACCCTGTTCTTCACCTTCTTCTGGTTTCTCCTCCTGCTCCCTTTGGCTTAAATTATTCACATTTCTTCTTTAAACAAAGTAAAGAGAGGAAGGCTCGGCTGAGAGAGCCTTTCTTACCTTGCCCTAACTACTACCTGAGTCTAAGTGAAGTTTTTAAATAAAGTTTTTAGGTAAGTTAATCTTGGTTTGTCATTGTATCCCTGTTGGGCATGTTTGATTAATGCCAATTTGATGAGAGTAGGGACCAGGCTATCTGTATGTTTTTGACTATTATTATATCAGCAGGGTCTGGTGAGTGCCTGATGCTCATTAAGTACATTTAGAGTGCATGAAGGCATAAAGCCAGAGCCCTGTGCACAGCATGGCAGGATGTAGTGGCCCAATAAAAATGAATGACTGGGTAGTCAGAATCTTGGTGGTCTTAATCGAAAGCAGGACTGGCGGCAGCATCTAGGATGTCAAGTTGGTTTGCTAGAAAGCTAAAGACATTCAGGTCAAGGAGCACACCACCCTGCTTTGTAAGTGGTATGTATGCACTTAATGCAAGATGTCTTAACAAAGTAAGAAGGCTGGTTGTTACCCATGACAGCTTGTAATCAGTAAATATTGGTTGAATTAAAGCATGAATGGAGGAAGGCATGCACAAAGTTTCTGCAAAACCACAT